CCGCCGCCAAGACCTTCTCCGACGGCTTTCTCATCAGGTTTCTGCGGGCAAGAGACTTCGACGTGGAGCTCGCCCTGAAGGTAAACCACACTCCCTCCAGCATGAACAAACTACTGGAACTAACCGAAAGTGCGCATTTCAACCTGTAGTGAATTTAAGGTATTTAACAAGAAGTGAACCGCAGCTACGGGGACGTGTGGAGGCTGTTTGAGGAGCAGAGGTCATTTTTACCAAAGTCCTCTCCTGACAGATGGCTCCAGTGTCTGTTCAGGTTTTTATGATACAGCTGTTAAAATAAAGCCTAAGTGTAGTGTTGGTGTGACAGATTATCAGTTATTAAAGGGAAATTATTAAATATTTGGTTATATTTATTGTGTTGGGCCAGAAAAGTCACTGAGAAGCAGTTTGTTCTCAGTCCAATGTATTGTTTACATTAAGATTTAACAGCTATATTTACAAATTAGAAGGCATGTGATGCATCATTATAGGCAAACCTACCCAACAATGCATAAAACTGACAAGCTACACAAGTTTCCATTCTCTCAAAACTGACTTTTGCCTGTAAAATACTATTTTTACATTGTGATATTGATACTCAGAAGGCACTGTTGCCTCTGGGCATGAAGGTTCCGGGCTCGAGTCTCGTGGCCCACTGGGGAACCCTCGGTGGAGTTTGCATGTTCTCCCCGTGTCTGTGTGGGTTTGCTCTGGATGCTTCCTCCCACAGTCCAGAGAGACGCGGGTTAGGTCGACTGGTCAGCAATTCTTCATAGGTGTGAATGGTTGTCTGTTTCTGGGTGTTAGCCCAGGGACAGAGGGGGGGCACCCTGCCTTCACCCTACCCTCACCCTGTGTTCCCCTGTGAACCTTAAGGATAAGCAGGTTTAACAAATGGACCCATTGGTACTTTCAATTGGAATAATATTTGAATAGCTCCTCCACCCTGGTCAGGTTGCCAGTCTATCACAGGGCTCAAAATCAGGATTTAAAAAAACGTTATACAAAAAAGCTTAAACAAACTCTTGTTTGACTTGATATCAGCTTTAAGTAGACAATGGATATCGTGACCTGGAACAATTTGTTCAGGCGTTTCTAGCTGAGCCAGTTTCCTGGTATGCAGCGAGTGCCATAATTAATGGCACGCTGACACCGCTCTCTTTAAAACATCTTAGTTTGTGTTTGTGATATTCCCAAAAATTCTAATTAATTGCCAGTTACTTGTTAATTGGTAACCTAAACTCTGTGATGAGAGTAGAAATCAAAATATACAGGTTTTTGCTGGACACATTTTGAACATTCTTCTTTCAGCCTGTCTCTGACAAGTCATCTAAGCTGTGGATCGTTTATATTACCGATGGAGAATTTAAGATATCTGTTTTTCTGCATGGCTTACATGTTTCATATGAAAAGAACCAACTTATTCAGACTATATGAGATGATCCTAAGTTGATTCTAAATTGTTCTCAAATTAAAGTAATTCTAATACTAAACATCTGTTTGCAAACATAAATGTAATGAAGTTACGTTCCTGCTTTAATTGAAAAGTGTTACGACTAGCTGTCAGAAGTCACAACTGAGGACCCAGCCTGTGCAGGACTCAGACACAGGCTCAAGATAAAAACAGTTTTTAATCAGTAGTGGTAAGATGTAGTGTGGACATTTCAGCCAGTCACAGACAACTAGACCGCTAGATGAGCAGCCCAGGGTAGATGGCGAGTAGAGGCATTAACAGAAGTGTTTGGCTGCAGCCCAGCTCTACGCCAGTGTGGGAGGTGCGCCTGGGTAGCCGAGTTGCAGTGGAGGTGCGTACAGCTCAATAGGATCCTCCTAGTTGGCAAGAGTTACCCATGTTTAGTGTTGACTTATTTATGAATGAACAACAAAAAGTTGATACATAAATTGAAGTACTGTACGTAAATCATGTCCCCAAATACGGTCTTTTATTCTGTGTTTATTTGCTGCCTCCTTGCACTCTCATCTACATTCACTCTAGCTGACCAATGTACCAAAAGCAAATACCGTGCAGCTCAAACAGTCTGGTACGTTTGTCCCTGTTGGCCAGCAGCCAGCATTCGGCTCAGTTGCCTTTTACTCATTATATCACTATGAAAAACAAATTTATCTCTAAAAAACTAGTGAACCAGGAGGGCATTTATAGCACGATTGCGTTACTGCAAGGATGTGCCGTGTCTGTGGTGCACTCAGTACTGCATTCACTTTACCATACTTAAGAGTATTGTTGTTGCTGCATTCTTATGACAGCATTCCTCAAGACTGACTGTCTGATCAGTGTCTGTCAGTTGCTCTGCAGGCGGGTCATATAATAGTGTTAAATGAGCCGAATGTTAAATGAGCCGCCTCTTTCATGTGAATGCAGTAGGAGCTCAGTCAAGTTGGTCGAAGCTCTGCCCTTCTGCTACACTTATACAGACTGACAAACATACTAATATTTCTTTGCAGTTGCTTTTAATTTAACACACTAATATTTCTTTGCAGTTGCTTTTAATACAAACTAACACCCTGAGCCTACGCACTACTTTTATTTTCTGTTTGAACTTTATGGCCTGAGGGTGTGGCTCACGACAGAGCAGATGAAAGGTTAGAAAACACCTTATTCAATACACCAGGGTTTCAGCTGCAGACACAGAGGACTCCTGTACATTTCCTGATGTCCTTGAATACTCCCTGTGTCCTGTGCAGCTCTTACTTAACTATCAGCGGTGGCGAAAGGAGTGTCCTGAGATCAGCAGCTGTCTGTCCCCCTCCTCTGTGCTCGGGCTCCTCAACGCATCGTACCATGCCGTTCTCCCACAGCGGGACCTCACTGGCAGCAGGGTGCTCATCTACAGAATTGGTTAGTATGCATGTTTGTGGTCGCTGAAAAGAGAGGCGCAAGACTCAACAAATTAGTTGTAGCTCAAAGCTTAAACATATGAAGAGCTGCAGAATCATTAGTTTAAACGTTAATACAAAAACTATTGTTTAATGTAGGGCAGAGACTGATTGTCGCCCATGTGACTGCAGTAACACGTGTACGTCCATCTGTCTGTCCGTAGGCCAGTGGAACCCAAAGGACTGGTCAGCCTTCCAGGTGTTCAGGGTCAGCCTTATGACATCTGAGATCATCTCCAGGGAGACAGAGACCCAGAGGCGGGGTCTGAAGGCCATATTTGACCTGCATGGGTGGTGTTTAGGCCAAGCTCTACATATTACCCCTTCCCTCGCCAGAAAAATATCCTCTGTACTTTCGGTAGGCCTAGTATCTCATCATGGTGGCGTCAGTGTGAATAAAACTTCTGTGTGCCACATTGAGCTCAACCTTTCATACTCTTTGGGTGTTCTTCCAAAATGTTTTTATTGCAATGCAGATGACAACCATCCGAATGGGATAGATTAGGCTAACTATCTAATTTATGATGGCATCTTACACTGTAGCCATGTTGGCAACTTAGCAGTTTGCTCACTAGCTTTAGCGACTTTAAAGAGTGACTTTAGGGACAAACCCAGTGATTCTGAGGGCAGACTTTTACTCCATTCCACTGACGACTGTCCTAACATTCTCAGTGAATGTGCTCTGATTATCATTATTAGCTGTTCCATACTGTTTCACAAAACTGGTTGTCAGCTTTCTTAATGTTTTTTCACCTGTGTGTGTGTGTGTGTGTGTGTGTGTGTACACACGGGACTCGTTTCCGCTGAAGGTCCGAGGAATTCATCTGGTCAATGAGCCAAGGGTCTTCCGGCCAGTCTTTGCCATGATTTGTCCCTTCCTGACAGATAAGATCAAACAGAGGGTCAGCACCCTGTTACCTCTGAACACTGGTTACACTTCACTTGCACTCACTCTGGTCTCAGACTGTTTTACAGACAAATCCTGCGTGGAAATGTCTCTAAACTACTTTTAAAGCGAAGCTCCCTCTGCTCTCTGTAGATCCACATGCACGGTGCTGATTTCCACAAAACCTTAAGTGACTTCTTCTCACCAGCCATTCTGCCTCCAGAATATGGAGGGAAGGGACCCGGAATAGAGGAGGCATGTCACGACTGGACCAATCAGCTGCTTCAATCAGAGAAGCTGCTGCAGCAGATAGCCGCTCACCCAACTGCTGATATCACCATTACTCCTGATGATCTCAGGGAAAAAGAAGACTGAACTGTTGTCAGACAGATGATGTTTGGCCTCTTGAGTCACACACGTGGTTGTCTTGCACTGTGGACCAAAACACTCTCTGCTGGCCATTTTGGGGTCTTTGCCTCTACCGTAGTGTCCAAGCTGTTGGCTGTGTGATGAGAGCTAAAAAGACGTATATCTGGTCCCCCACACATCCTGGAAAACCTGGACATTTTTGACCAGTTTTCTAGTCACGGAAATTGAGATAAACTGTACAATGTCCTGGAAAAACACTGACATCCTGGAAAATAACTTTCACAACTTTGTATTTTCCTTTCTTGAGAGCAAACTGTCAGATCTCAGCATGATCTGACAGCTGAATTAGGGGGAACAGCTGTCAGTAATCAATTGGTCATAAAGCATCAGCATAGATTAACACATAAGATTTAAGAGAAACTTCCATAAGGGAATTTGTTATTCTAAGACGTTGTTCCCATTTGACATCACTGAAAATGTCCTGGAAAATTATTTCTTGTAAAGAGCGACAACCCTGATACTGGCTCTGCTGCTTTTAAAACCTTCAGCACCAATCCACCATGCTGACTTTACAGGATGTTTGCTTGTGAACTCTCATTATATTGTTCACTGAAGTCTGGCTAAAGGGTGAGGCTGCATCTTCTGGTTGAACTGCACATGTTAAGATTCAGGCTCAGGAAGGACCCAGAATGCAGACCCGAGTGAGAGTCTTAGGATTTAAGCAGTTTAGTAGGACAAGGAACAAAAGACAGACAACCAGAAGCTCAACCTGACAACAAAATTCAACCGGGCATAAGGAATACCTAAAAACACATAAATTGGTCAGGGAGTGATAAAAAAACAATGGAACCAAACAAATAGTTACAACACACAGAGCCTGTGGACGAGGCAGGGAAAATGTCCAGACTTATAAGTGTCCACAACAAAAACTAACCGGGTGTGAGGATAAAGCAGCCAGGTAAGAGAGTAGACAAAACTCAGGAACAGGCTGGCGAGAGCAAATGAACCAGTGACTAACTGGGAAGGGAGTAAGAATGTTAAAATCATAAATGATCAGTTTTACCATACTGTGCAGGTAAAGCAGACAAGGTAGGGGTGTCGACCTTTCTCTTAAAAGCAAATAAGTGTATTTCCTGCAATGCTGAAAGTTTTTTAATGTAATTCATGTCATGCAATTCATATGCATGTGAGTTCACCTACCTTTGCTAATATCTGCTAGCTGCTCACTTTTAACAGTTAGTTCAAATGAACTTCTCAAGCTTCCGAGTGTTTTGGAGCTGAGACCGGACCTAAAGACAGAATGCCTTACTTTGTCACCTCCACTCAGAAACAAGCCTACTTTCTTTTAGGTCTTTCGGTTTTTCAGGAATGCTGCTGAATGCTACATGGATGTCACATCACATCTGGTTCTTTCAGGGATCTCTAGTCATTCCGTTGTTAGACATTTATAGCTAACAGCCAGAGGACGGATTGCTAGGAGGCCAGCAGGACACCGGCCAGAGGACTGGGCTCGGAGCAGAGGAGAATGAGACACTCTGCTACAGTAGCCCTCAGGTTTGTCCTGCTTTAAACAAACAGTGTCTTACTGTGAAATCCTGTGAACTCAACCTGAGAGCCAGCGTGACAGTGCAGAGTCCACACTGTGAGGGAGACTGAAGTATTGTATGCCATCTTGGACAGCAAGTAAAAGATAAGTAAATGATGAGCATGGACTCTGCCTTCCCTCCAGCTTGTCACTCCAGGCTTTCATCTTATCAATCCAGCCTGTCTTCTGTTTGTTCACGATCATTTGAACAGGGTCTTCATTTGAACTGTTAATAGGATTCAACTGTTTCCATGGTTTTATATAACCTCTGATGTAATGTCACAGTCTTTTATGACAAAATGTATACTTTAATTGAATTTCATTAGTCATCTGTAAGTGTATTATGCACATACATTATCCTGTATACTGAGTTGTTGTAAAAACGGAAATTTGCTTTACGCAGAGTTGATAATTTCTTTTATTAATTGCTGAAAATGCATTTATACTTTACAGTTAGAGATTTGTTTTTTAATATGCAAGTGATTTTTTTTCTGTGGTAGAGTTGACTTATTTTTTAAACTGGTAAGATCTTGTCAGCATTTGAAGCAAAGATACAGTCCCATATCTTTGTCTGCTGATAAGTCTGCGGGTTAGATTCGGGCACAATAATGGGCCGTTGTTAAATGGTGACTTGGTGTGGTGGGTTGTGTGTGTGCATGTGCAGGCTCCTGTGCATTTCATTATGTGTCTGGAGCTTAGCACCTGGTACATGGGGCAAACTGTTTGAGGCTTCGCACACACAGTGGCTGACTTCACAAACAAACTGGCATTTTACTTCAGCAGCGAATTATTGTAGGTAGATATTGGTATGTTTGCAGATGTGTGTCCTGGACATCCATTAGTCAAACATGTTAAAATATCAGCTGATGCCAAGTCATCAGTCAGCAGCCGAAGGGCAGAGCCAGATTCGATTGAACTCAGACAGCGGCTGACACAGTGAAAAGTACACAAACACCGGTTCCCTGTTGCCACCACTAATTAAAAAAAACAAACATTTAGTGCCATTTTCACAGAATGACCTCCTTTCTTGTACATACAGTGCTCAGCATAAATGAGCGCACCCCAACAGATTTGTCAGAAAACCATTACTTTCCTTTCAGAATCAACATTTTTTATGGGACACTATACTACAAAATATTCCCATAAATGTGGGCCAAAGATTGCATCCAAGATTTTTTTTTATGTGCACACACAAAAAGTATTTTCCCTAATAAATTCATTCAAGACCATGTTGCAAAAATGAATACACCTCAATGAAAGTCTTAGGAGCAAAGCAAAATTTCAGAAAACAAAATCCTTATGAACAAGAATTCAACTACAGGTGAGTCTAATTATTCATTCATTTACTTTATGCTTGTATGTTTTTAAAATTAGGAACACTTCTATGTTTTACTCCACTAAATTTGTCAGCTATAGTTGAGTTATAAACCTGTAATGAGCATATAATAAGTATACAATAGTGAATTATTAAAAATATACAAGTTCTCACCCTTATATAAAGATGTATACAGATAAATAAAAAACTAGAACAATAAAAAACTGAGTCAGAAATGTAAAAGTTAAAAAAAAGATGGAGAATATATGAGACAATGACAAATACAATATGTGTCATAACAAGGAATAAAAATACAGACAAAATGTTCTACTCAAAATCCAGGCTGAAAAAGTCCATTTCAGGTTTGTGTTTAAATACAATAATATTTCTGCTCTCAGGTCCTGGAGCAGGTTGTTTCAGTGGCTCAGAGCATAACTAAAAGCTTCACTAAACATTTTTGACTGAAAAGATTTGAGGACCTGAGAGGCCGGTAGCATGTCAGTCAAGTAGACTAGTGTAGGACCATGACATGCTTTAAATACAGAGTTTTAAAATCAATACTAAAACTGACAGAAAGCCAATGAGGCAAGACGGTAATCAGTCATTAAGTACTGCAGCTTTCTTAAGCTGTAGTTGATTGTTTTTTGTTACTGTCCTCCCTCCTCTCTGGTGCAGTATCTGTACAGACCTTCGATCACTTTCAGAGGTCAGTAACCATGTTTATGAGCCTGACTCACTCCAGTAAACAGTATCTCCTCTAAAGCGCTGCAAAACCCCAAATTCAGAGCTCATTCCACAGAGAAAGCCACTTGCTTTACAGTACATACTCTACACATTATTGCAGATCTCAGATAAATACAATGTGTCCTTGCGTTGTATAGATTGTGAACCATACCCTTTTTTGTTGCGGGTTGTCATGGCCTCTGTGCTGATTATTTGTTATTTTTATTTAGTGTATTAAAAAGTGGTGAAAATATACCCAACGCTATTTTATTACAACTACGCTAATGCAGAGCAGCTGCATTCCTTTTTGAGCTTTTGACTGCACAAATCAATAGTTTAAAAGCAATATATTCAGTGTTATTCATCATACAGAAATCAATGGCAGGTCAAAACAGCACAAAGGCATTTTTGACATCAACAAATCGGTGTGATTCCACTTTTAGTCTGTAATTTTGTTACGGCAAGCCGCACACCAACAGAGCAACTGGACTCAGTAATAGGCAGGACTCAAACTCAGGTCAGAGAGAGATATTTATTTGACAGTATGGAACGGAAAGGGGGTGGCAAGGATCAGGCGAGGAGCTGCCGGCGTGGGTCTCGGGTGATAGGGCCGCAGAAATGACTGGACCACTGGAGGAGCCGCCCGGGGTCGGAGGAGAGGTTTTGGCACTACGTATAGAGCAGAGAAGGAGATTAAGAGAGGAGACAATAGGCAGATGAGGGTGTGATGAAGCTGAGCACAACACAGGTGTTATAGGCGGAGCCAGTTACGCGAGGGCTCGACGTCACCACGCAGGGGCGTGTGTTTTTTTTGTTGTGATTGTGTGAGAACAGAGAGTGAAGTGGCCGGTTCGGCTAGTTAAGAAAATAAAAGGGAACAGTGCATACCATTACGTCGGCCTCCTCTTTCCTTCTGCCCCCCCGTCTTCGCTGAGCAGGCCCAGAATAAAGGCTGGTTACCGGCCGGGGAATCAACCCACCGTCGCCCGCCCACGGTCAGAAGTCAGCTCACCAAAAAATATAACCAAGGCAAAAAACTTACTCCAGTCAACACAGTGGAATGACACCAATATACCAGGGTAGGATGATCTTAGACGACATCAGGATCCAGGACAAGAAACACACAAAGTCACCGGCAGAAGACTAAGAGATCATCTGGCAGCGAGGACACACCAGCGCCGTGTATAGAGTATAGAGCAGTTAATTGAGCGCAGGTGTGCCTTGTCGCCGGGAGCGTGTTCCTATGTGAGCAGGGGTGGAGTCGCTGATAGCCCCGGTAACAGCTGCAGAGGTGCCGGGGACGGCCTGATCCATGGATGTAACACATTTATTAATTGAACTTACAATATTAGTTTGTTAAATTAAGAAAGTTCACTTGTATCATCATTATAAACATTTAAACAATATTGAGATGTAATTATGTAGTTCATTTTTACATGACAATAAATAAATAAATAAATAATAAAACGATTTTTTTAATTTTTACTGAAGATTCTTACTGAAGAGATGGTATTTTGATTTTCTGTA